TAATAGTACTATTAATATTAATAATATTAATTAAATTTTCGTATAAAAAAACAAGTTCTGAATGAAAATGGTGCAGAATGAAGCAAAAAGATCTTATGAAAAACCTTAAAAAACTTCAAACTTACAGCAAACTCTGTACATAACATACTTTATGCTTAAAGTGTACAAAGTATACTTGAAGTTGTTCCACTTTAGCAGGTAATAGTTTACTTAATACACTTCAAATAGTACTTTTATACAATTTAATTACAATTAAAATAGATTTAGTATAAAATTAGTTGTTCCAAAATAGCATGCATTATGTATACTGATGATTTGTCTGGCTTCAAGTTGCTAACATTTAGTTTACTTGGCATATTTATTTTTGACAAGGGTAAGCTTAATTTCCAAATTTACAAAAACAGTGTATATCTGGTATCTTTATATGTTTTTTTCTAGTAAACATTGCCTGATATATTTTTCCAGCAACTTTGACTTAATCTCCTTTTTGAACACATCGAGTGTTTTGGAGGTTTTTATATTAATATCGAAACTGTTCCATAAACTTATTCACCTACATTCAAAACATAAAATGACATCTTACCTTTTTACTTTAAAATGAAACACCTGTAGTTATAGGGCTACACGATATTAGAAAAGCTTGCGATGGCAATAATATTTGTAAATGTTGCCATGATGATATCAGGTGCCATTTGTTTTTTTTCTTTCCTCCCCTTCTTCTCTGTTTCATCCTCTGTGACCTTTAGCATTTTTGGTAACATCATTAGTGTCTGATGATCTTTTACTCTATGCTACTGGTTAAATGTTACATTAGCATGAAAAATATGATTTGAGAACGTGTCAAATACATTAGTCAACATTTATTGCACTCCAAGCAGTCTTTTATGAAATAAATATTGCACACTGATGTTGTGATGACGATATTTTCACAATGTTTTGTTCAGCCCTACCTAGTTACACACAACAAAGTTAAATATGACCAGAACTCTTCATGAAAGGAGGTTTTTGTGCACTCTAAAAAAGAGGCGTTGGATTTACTGAACTTAGTTAAGTAAATTCATCACTTTATTTCTTAGTGTGTAAAAGTACTTTTACTTCCCTAATTATTGTGAGCAGTTTTATGACTTTTACTGAAGTACTTTTCTTATCCAAAAAGTTAATTTTTTTAAAGCAATTTTCTGTAAAAGTATTTTTTTTCAATCAGCAGCTCTTGTTGCGAACATTTAAAATCCACAGGAAAATGCTGTAGCTGGTTTTGAACCTGCAACCTTTTCTCTGTGAAACATCAGCTCTAACCACTGCTCTGCTGTGTTGCCCTGCAGACAGACAATAACAACAAATTTTTTAATTTAATTTACTTAGCATCATGAAACACAGCATTAAAAACGTGTTGTAACATCAAAAGCTCAGGAGATCTGTCAGGATTTAAACCAGCAACTGTAACAACAGCCAAAAGCTCAGTGTATTGAAGGCAGACTCACAACAGCCTTGAAGAGTCCGACCACATCATGCTCATAAAAAMAGTTTGGTCCTCTGCTGATCAGCCGCAGAATAAAATGAGATCAAACTGCAGCGAGAGGCGTCTACAGGCAGTTAAACAGACGAACAGAGATTTGATGTTAAAATCTTCTCCTGCAGCTTGTTCCACATTCAGAGTCGACCGCTGCGGCCCGGACTCACCTCTTCACACGCTCCTGTCTGAATAACAGAAGAAACGAAACGCACGTTTAGAACGGGACAGGGATTTTAAACAGTGATTTGTTTTTATGTGTTATCCAAACAGGCTTTGTTTGCTCAGCTTTAACTGAGACGAGAACTTTTTGTAATCAAATCAAATGAATAACAGTTGAGTTACTGTGGTCATTAATGGTTTCATTTTTATTTATTAATTATTGTTT